AAAAAAAAAAAAAAAAAAAAAAAAAAACTTAGAGAGTTACTTAGAACCCCGTGCAAGGAAAACTTGGTTTTGCATTCATTTCTTGCAGATCTGAAGTTTAACTGCTTTGTCTTGTGTGTCAACAACCATTCATGCTAAAGTCCTGCATGCATTGGTACAATGAAAATCTGAAGTATTTGATGTTTAAAAGGTAAAATGTAAGAACAATGGAAAACAAAATCCCATTATTCATGTACTTCACTTCATGTCAGAGATATACTTGTTCTTTAACAGAGGTATAAGAAAATATTTCAGTTGTGCCCCAACAGGATATTCTTTCCCCACTCCTTTGAAATGCCTACACCTATGTAGGGATACAGATTTTAGCCACATTGGTCTACAGGCAAAGATATTCAGAACTCTTGGCAAAAGTGATATCTTTGAAGCAGATTCTTACCCAGTGATACCAGATGTTACATAGTCCTTCCCTAGGTAGTTATAACCATGGCGAATAAGATCTTCACATACATCCTTAACTTTACTGCCTCCAAAAGCTGTTCCATAGTGAAATCTGCCATCTAGGACGCCAGCCTTCCCAGCCAACAGTTCAATTAATTTTCCCACCTGCTCAATGGAAAGCAAGAATTAGCTAGAGTACTTTCTTGATGCACGTCTCACCCATCAACCCCTTCCTTATATTTTAAGCGTCATCATCTTAATACAAAACTGCCAGCTCAGTCATGTGGTGAGGAACACTTGCTATATTGCTGTTATTTGCTATCTGAAAGTTTTATTACTCATATTTAGTAAGATGAGCATGACCCACAATCTAGCCTCACTCCTAGACAACTGAGGTTGGAGTGCTTGGCATGAGGACTGGGAGCAGAAGGAAGGAAGCAAGCTAATGGAGAAAAATGGGAGAGGAAAACAAGCAAAAAGGGAAAAGGCCCAAATAAAGCACAAAATCATAGCCTGGTTGGTATGGCAGCAGAGCACTTATGGAGTACAATCTATTCCCTTATATCCCTATACCACCAACCCACATCATGAATAGGAACAGGCTCTGTGTAGAATATATCCCCAATACCCTACGCAGGTAGGTAGAGGCTTGGCTCTGTCCCCACTATGCTCAGTGACATAGCTATCCTGGCTGGTTGTTATAGGCATGGTTTAGTTGTTCCTTGAAACAGGGAGACAGGGAGAGAAATTACCACTTTGAAGTCTGTCTCTCTGGGCTGCACCTTACGCTGGCCAGGGTTTAATCTCACAATCTAGTCCAGGGGTGGGCAAAACAGCAGACCCAACCGGCAGCCGGACTCAATTTCCCAGCAGCCCCTGCCTGCACGGCTGGGGCTGGTCTCCATGGAGACTCCAGCTGCAGCTAGGCTGTGATAGTGCAAGGCTTGGGTTGCCATGGAAACCAAACCAAAACCCAAACCAACAAAAAAACCCAAATGAAAATGCATTAAAAGTTTGAAAAATATTGGAGTGGAAAAGCTATACCTTGGCAAAAATCCTCTCCCTCCAATGTCATGATGTAAACTAAATATGAAGTGGGGAAAAACAAAATGGGAGACAACAGTAAGATTGTCCATTACAGGAAGCTTACTTTCTAAATCAAGATCATGAGAAAGTAGGGCTGAAAAGGATCTAGTCAGCCCCCTGCTCAAGGCAAGATCAGCCCTTAAGTAGCCATCCTGGTCTGTCTAACCTGCTCCTGAAGATGTCTAGGGATGGAGAGACCCTAACTTTGAGGCAGCCTGTTGCAATGCTTGCCCACCCATGTGGTCAGAATGTTCTTCCTAATCTCCAACCCAAATTTCCTTTCCTGTAGTACGAAGTTATGGCTTGTAGCTCTGCCTTCTACGCCCACAGACAAAAGCCCATCTCCATCCTCTATAATCACTCTTCCAGTATTTGAAGACTAATCAAATCCCCCCTTGGTCTTCTCATCTCCAGACTAAATAATCCTGGTTCTTTCAGCCTTTTCTCAGGTTTCCCAGGGTCCTAAACATTTTTGTCACTCTCTGCTGGGCTATTTCCAATCTGGTCAAAACTTTCTTGAAGTTTTCCTCAAAACTGAACACATAGTGCTCCAGGTGAGGCCTCACCGATGCCTAATAGATCAGACAGATTACTTCCCTTGATTTGCGAGAGATACTCCTGCTAATACAACCTAGTATGCTGTTAGCTTTTTTGGCAACAAGAACACTCTGTTGGCTCATATTCAATTTATGATCTAATGCAACCTCCAGGGTCCTTCTCTGCAGTAATGTAGCTCACCTAATCATTCCCCACTCTGCATCTGTGCATGCAATTATTCTGTCCCAAGTGCAGAATACTGCACTCGTCCTTGTTGAATTTAATCTTACTTGTTTCAGACCATTTCTCCAGTTTTCCAGGCCATTCTGGATCCTAGCCCTTCCCTCAAGAGCATCTGCAACTCCACCCAATTGGTCATCATCCACAAATTTGCTAAGTGTCCCCTCAGTTACATCCTCCAAAGCATAAATGAAGATGTTAAAAATAGTGCTGAAACTAGGGCAGACCTCTGGGGTATGCACACTTAATACCTCCTCCCAACTAGGCATTGAGCCACTGATGACTTCTCATTGAGCATAATGATCCAACCAATTACGCATCTACCTTATAATATTTTCATTATGTCTCTATTTCCTTAGCTTATTAATGAGAATGTTGTGGGAGATAGTGTCAAAAGTCTTGCTAAAAACCAAGGACCAATTGCATCCACTGTTCTCTCCCATCCACATAGCCTGTCACCCTATCATAAAAGGAAATCAGCTTGGTCAGGCAAGATATATTGTTTCATGTTGGTTCAAGTACTTCTTGCCAATGAAAAAAACAATGCGTCTGACGTCTTCCCTAAGATTTTCTCCCAAAATTCACAAGCATGCACATTTTTTTCTTCTCATGCTTTAATACATTAAATCTGTATCTTAAAGGGGTAGTCTGTTTTCATTTTTGGTGAAGCTATTCAGTGAAAACCATTCATTTTGTAGAGTTAGTTCAATACAGCACTAGACTTTAATTATTCAACTTCTTTTCCACCCTGTTAACTTTACTCGTGCCAACAGGTCCATTTGCAGAAGCACTTAGGTTTGATTAAAGTTATTTCACCTGACTCTCAGTTACTCACCTATCAAGAAGAGATTTAAAAGAATTCATGAATGCAATTCTGGAAATATTTAACAGCAGCAAAAATTCTGACAAATTAGTTAAAACGTACTCAAAATTTCATATGAAAAAACCTGACAGCAATTTTTATCATCTTTATACACAATTTAATTGTGCCCTGATCTCTTCTGAAATGTCTTGATTATTGGCCACAAGAGAGAACGAGTTTCTTCACCTGGACTGAAAAAAGCTGAAGGTGGGGATGGATACTGTGTTAAAACCATGTGAAGGAGATGATGGTCTCTCTCACATCTGACTGCAACACTTTGTTCTGCTTTCCCACCTGCCTAAGATGCATCATCTCATAATGCCATATGCAAAAATTGTGTCCTGTTTACATTAGGTACTTCGATATATTCCAAAAACTGAGCACAAAAAAAAAAAAAAA